CTGCCCGTCTCCAGCTCCGTGAGCGGTTCGGAACGGAGTTTCCCGTCCTGCGTCTGCACTCTGACAGAGGTGGGGAGTTTTCCTCCGACCTTCTGCAGAGATTTTGTCGTGGGGAGGGCATTCGCCAGACGTTCACGCTTCCGGCCTCTCCGCAGCAGAATGGGGTTGCTGAACGCCGCATTGGCTTGGTCATGGAGGTCGCTCGTACCTCCATGGTCCATGCGGCTGCCCCCCATTTTCTGTGGCCGTTTGCGGTCCGCTACGCCGCGCATCAGCTCAACCTCTGGCCCCGTGTCTCCTTGCCGGAGACCTCGCCTACACTGCTGTGGACGGGGGAGGTTGGCGATGCGTCGGTGTTCCGGGTCTGGGGTTCTCGTGCCTTTGTCCGCGATACCACCGCGGACAAGCTCTCCGCCCGCGCTGTTCCCTGTGTCTTCCTTGGCTTTGTCCCTGACGCGCCTGGTTGGCAGTTTTACCACCCCACCTCACGCCGTGTCTTCCCCTCTCAGGACGTCACGTTCGACGAGTCGGTTCCCTTTTACCGTCTCTTCCCCTACCGCACTGCCCCTCTCCCCCCCCCGCCGCTCTTCCTCGCTCCAGGTGCTCCCCAGGTTGACCCCCTTCCCGCTCCCGGTCCTGCTCCTTCAGGTGTGTCTCAGGTAGACCCTCCTCCCTTGACTGCGCCGGTTGAGGTCACTGGTGACTCAGGTCCTGCTGAGGGTGGTCCTACTCGGGGTGCTGCTTCTGGAGGTGCTGAGCCTGGGGGTGCGGAGCCTGGGGGTGCTGAGCCTGGGGGTGCGGAGCCTGGGGGTGCTGAGCCTGGGGGTACTGAGTCTGGGGGTGCTGCACCTGGGAGCGCTGAGGCGTCTGGTGAGTAGTCTCCCTGGAGCGGCCCTCTCCGTAGTCGCTCCGCTGGTGCCTCGCCGCTGCACTCTCGTCGTCGTCTCCCTCTCTCCCCACAGCAGCTGCGTGAGTGGTACGTTAGCCGTCAGGGTCGAGCTGCTGGAGCTGGGGGCCGTGCTGCGGGAGGCGCTGGTGTTGGAGGCACTGGAGCCGGCGCTATCCCTCTCTCCCCACAGCAGCTGCGTGAGTGGTACGTTAGCCGTCAGGGTCGCACTGCTAGAGCTAGGGGCCCTACTGCGGGAGGCGCTGGAGCTGGTGACTCTGCTACTGGAGTTGTTTCTATTGGAGTTCCTGGAGCAGCTGGTCCGGGAGGTGCTCGTCTGGAGGTACTGGAGCTGCTGGAACTGGAGGTCCTGCTGGACCTGGAGATGCTGCTATCGACTCTGAGGTTGGAGGCCCTGGAGCTGGAGGTGCCGGTTCTGGGGGTGCTACTGCTGGTGGTGTTGGAGCTGGAGGTTCTGGAGCTGCTGTGGGTGCTGGCGCTGGAGGTTCTGGAGTTGTTGGAGGTGCTGGCGCTGGTGGCGCTGGAGCTGGAGGTTCTGGAGCTGCTGCGGGTGCTGGCGCTGGAGGTTCTGGAGCTGTTGGAGGTGCTGGCGCTGGTGGCGCCGGAGCTGGAGGTTCTGGAGCTGCTGAGGGTGCTGGCGCTGGAGGTTTTGGAGCTGCAGGAGGTGCTGGAGCTACTGGTGCTGGTGGCACTGCAACGCCGCGAGTGTTCTTCGCTCCACCGTCACCTTCGTCTCTGCCACCGCCTAGCTCCATGCTTCGCCAGGTTCTTAGCCTCCCGTCTTCTACTGGTCTTCCGTTACAGCCTGGCTCACCGCTGCCTGCTCCTTCTCCTTACACTGAGCTGACAAGCGGTCTTGCTGAGCCTCGTGAGCCTGCGTCTCGTCCTGTCTCGCCTGTTCGCACTGTCCGCACTGGTCGTACTGGTCGTTGTGTTCCTCGTGAGCGTCCGCCGGCTGTCCCCGACACACACCTCATGGCCCTGCGTCCTTCCTCTACTCCGCAGCGTGTTCTCCTGCCGTCCCCTCCTGCGTCTTCTCTGCCTGACGTTCCAGAGCCTGAGTCTGACCGCGCTCGTGCTGCTCACCCTACTGTCACGCGTCTGCTAGCCACAGTTGTCACTGACCCGTCGTTTGAGTCTGCTACTGCGTCTGCCTTAGTCCCTGAGCTTGTTGACTTTGCTGCTGCCTGTCGTCTAGACTACGCCGCTAGTCTTGTTGCTGAGTCAGAGTCTGTCTGTCTGTCCTTCGTCCGTTGGGGGTGAGTGTGCTCTTGGCACGGACGTCCTTGAGGACAGGCAGGAGGACCTTGAGTGTCTTGCAGCCGCTGCGCCTCATCTCGTGTCCACGCTGCTTGCCCCTGAGGGAGTCCCGGATGCACCAGACATCCCGACTCCGCGTTCTTACACTGAGGCGATCGCGGGTCCCTACTCCCCTCAGTGGCAGACAGCCATGGACGCAGAGATGGCATCCTGGAAGTCCACAGGCACTTACGTCGACGAGGTTCCCCCTCCTGGGCGAACATCGTCGATGGCATGTGGATTTTCAGGGTGAAGCGGCCGCCAGGTTCTCCGCCTGTCTTCAAGGCTCGTTACGTTGCTCGAGGCTTCAGTCAGCGGGAGGGAGTCGACTTCTTCCAGACCTTCTCCCCCACCCCGAAGATGACCACTCTTCGGGTGCTGCTGCACGTTGCTGCTCAGCGTGACTACAAGCTTCACTCTCTTGACTTCAACATAGCCTTCTTACAGGGCAGCCTGCACGAGGAGATCTGGCTGCGCCACCCACCTGGCTGGGTCGTTCCCTCGTGGTACCCAGTGGAGCCTCCGGCGGCCAGTCTACGGTCTCCGCCAGGCGCCGCGTGAGTGGCACGACACACTGAGGACGACACTTGCGGCTCTTGGGTTTGCTCCATCGACTGCTGACCCGTCGCTGTTTCTGCGCACCGACACTTCGCTGCCGCCGTTCTACATCCTCGTGTACGTCGACGACTTGATCTTTGCCACTGCTGACACTGAGGCTCTAGCCCTGGTGAAGTCGGAGCAGCAGAAGAGACACACGTGCACAGACCTGGGTGAGCTCACAGCTACCTTGGCTTGCAGATCACCCGGGACAGAGCACGCCGCACCATCACACTGACTCAGTCACACATGGTGCAGCGGGTCCTTCAGCGCTTCGGCTTCACCTGGTCCTCGGCACAGGCCACTCCTCTGGCTACAGGTCACTCGCTCTCAGCTCCACCTTCGTACGAGTCCGTAGAGCCGAGTGGTCCTTACCCAGAGCTAGTGGGCTGCCTCATGTACCTGATGACCTGCACTCGTCCTGACCTTGCGTACCCTCTTGGCCTTCTGGCTCGCTACGTGGCTCCTGGTCGGCACCGAAAGGTGCACATGGATGCTGCTAAGAGGGTACTACGCTACTTGTGCAGTACATCGTGCATGGGGCTCGTGCTCGGAGGACTGGGCGATGTTGTCCTCACTGGTTCTTCAGACGCTTCTTGGGTTGACGACTTGGCTACGCAGCGGTCGTCACAGGGTTACACCTTCAGCCTTGGCTCTGGCTCTGTTTCTTGGCGGTCTACACGCTCTTCCTCTGTTCTCAGCTCCAGTTGCGAGGCTGAGATCTACGCCACAGCCATGGCTGCACATGAGTTACGCTGGCTTACCTACCTGCTGACCGACTTAAGAGAGCGGCCTCGTTCTCCTCCAGTGCTGTACGTCGACAACAAGGCCGCCATTGCCTTGTGTCAGGAGCACAGACTGGAGCACAGAACGAAGCACATCGCTCTGCGTTACTTCCTTGCTCGAGAGTTGCAGCAGCGTGGTCAGCTTCGTCTTGCTCACTTGGCCACTCAGGCCAACACTGCTTATATATTCACCAAGGCACTTCCGCCTGTGATCATCAGCGCTTTTGTACTTTGTTGGGCCTTGCGCCTACGTTTCCTCACTTGCTGTAGGCTCTGCCTGTACTGTGATATATATGTATATATACCTGCATGCTTGCTCCTGGTAGGTAGAGATCACTGTGCTGTTGTTGTTACATTTATACCTCTGCATGAGAACTGGCCTTGTGGCCCTTTGCTTGTGCTCAGTGTGTGTGGTGACGTTGTGATCCACCCTGAGCTTGATTTGCTTCTCTTGACTAGTCTTGTGACCCCTTGCTCTCCCCCACTTTTCCTATGGGGGTGTGTCAAATTATATGTATGTTATATATGTGTAGGCTGTAATGGGGTAGCCAATGTGGGGTACAACCCCATTAGGGTTTCATATTTGTACCAAACCCTGATCTAGTCAATCCATTCCTGCTACTAGATTCTAACAAATATACATCCCTCAATGGCCAGTGGGGGGTGGTAGCCTCCAGGTAGGACAATATATACCCCTCTGAGGCACTTCAGAATAAACCCTTCTTCTTGGTTGCGGCCTCGCCTTCAGACGTGGAAAGGGGTTGATTTCACTGCTGCTAGTGAGCTGTAGTCCCGAGGTGCCTCAAAAATTTTCAGATCTGGAAAGGCGGTGGAGGTGGTTTGGTGCTGCTAGTGCGTTATACTTTCGAGGCGCCTCGGAGGTTTTCAGATCTGGAAAGGTGGGGGTGGGTTTGCTGCTGCTAGTGAGCTGTACTTTGGTAGCCCCCAAGCTCGCGCCATTGTTTGCTGCCACACCCTGCAGGTTGATCAGGGGTGGGGGGGTGGGGGGGTGGGTGTGTGGGGTGAAGGATGAAAGAGGAGCTTCTGGTAAGCAGGAGCTACTGCTTGTGAGCTGTGCTTTGGTAGCCCCCAAGCTCGGGCCATCGTTTGCTGCCACACCTTGCAGGTTGATCGGCGGGTGGTAGGGTTGGGGTTGGGGGTGGGGTTGATCTTGGAAAGCAGGAGCTACAGCTAGTGAGCTGTGCTTTGGTAGGCCCCGAATCCTTGCCATTGCTTGCTTCCACTCCTTGCAGATTAACCGGGAAGGGGATGGGTTGGGGGTGGGGGTGGGGGTGGGGGTGTGGGTGGGGGTGGGGTTGGGGGTGGGGGGAGGGAAGGAGGGGAGAGAGGAGGACTTGGTAAGCAGGAGTGGCTGAAGACGCTAATGTCATCCCACACACCATGCTGTCACCTCAACACGCACCCTCCAGTCCTCCACTCCACCCAAGGTTCAGCAGCTCTATCTGCACGCCCAGAGACTGCTGCAACGCGTCCAACTGCCGTTCCAACTGCCACGCAACCCACTCACTCACTCCCTCCGAAACCCTTGCAGTGATCACAACACGCACCTCCATTCAACCACCAACACACGATGCTGTCCCACCTGATGCCTCAATTCTCCCCCCTGACGCACCTCCAGTTCTCCACCATACCCTTGGGGTCCAGACCAGGTTCAACAGCTCTATCTGCACGCCTAGAGACTGCTGCACTGCAGCTAGCTCCCTACCAAAGACCCCACCGTCCCACCACCCACCATGCCTTACTTCTCCCCCCTAACGCTCACCTCCAGTCCTCCACCATATCCTTGGGGTCCAGATCAGGTTCAGCAGCTCTATCTGCACGCCCATGCTGTCTCACTCACTCACCCACCCACCCATGCCTTACTTCTCCCCCCCTAACGCACCCCCAGTCCTCCACCATGTCTTTCGGGTCCAGGTTCAGCAGCTCTATCTGCACGCTTAGCGACTGCTGCGTCCAGCTGCCGCTCCAACTGAGAGGCAACCCATCCACTCTCCCCTACTCCCATGTCCACGCTGCCTCATTTATCCGACCATCCAGTCAACCCCATCGCACGTCCAGTCCTCCACCATATCTTTTGGGTCCAAATTCAGCAGATCTATCTGCACGCCTACAGACTGCTGCAGTGTGCCCAGCTGCCGCTCCAACTGCAGCAAGGCAACGCTCTCACTGACCCCCACACCATGTCATCCGATGCCCCCACGTAGTCAACTCAACACGCACCTCCAGTCCTCCACCACATCCTTTGGGTCCAGGTTGAGCAGCTCTATCTGCACGCCTAGAGACTGCTGCAGTGTGCCCAGCTGGCAGGCAAACCACTCACTCTCACCCACACACCCGTGCAGTCAACTCAACACGCACCTCCAGTCCTCCACCATGTCCTTGGGATCCAGAGTCAGCAGCTCTATCTGCACTCCCAGTGACTGCTGCAACGCGTCCAGCTGCCGCTCCAACTGCAGCAAGGCAACCCACTCGCACACCCACCCACACACCCATGCCCACACCGCTCTCCTATCCCATGCTGTCATGTCAACCCCATCTCACCTCCAGTCCTCCACCATGTCCTTGGGATCCAGGTTGAGCAGCTCTATCTGCACGCCTAATGACTGCTGCAACGCGTCCAGCTGCAGCACCAACTGCCACGCAACCCACTCACTCACTCACTCACTCCGGAACCCATGCAGTGAATACAGAACGCACCTCCAGTCTTCCACCATGTCCTTGGGGTCCCGAGTCAGCAGCTCTATCTGCACGCCTAACGACTGCTGCAATCAGCTGCCAGGCAACCCCCTCACCCAACCCCACACCATGCCTTACTCCTCCCCCCCGACGCACCTCCAGTCCTCCACCAATCCTTGGGGTCCAAATTGAGCAGCTCTATCTGCACACCTAGCGACTGCTGCTGTCCAGCTGCCGCTCCAAGTGCAGCAAGGCAACGCACTCATTCCCACTCCCTGCAGCCAACCCGCCCACACATGTTGTCAACCCCTCCCTCACCTCCAGTCCTCCACCATGACTTTCACACCTGGGAACTTGGTTCCACTCACCCACAACCTCAGGTAGGTTTCAAAGGTTTCACGGAACCTCTGAAACCTTTCAAACCTCATGAAACCTTTGCAGGAACCTCATGAAACCTTTGAAACCTCATGAAACCTTTGCAGGAACCTCATGAAATCTTTGCAGGAACCTCATGAAACCTTTGCAGGAACCTCATGAAACCTTTGCAGGAACCTCATGAAACCTTTGCAGGAACCTCATGTCACGATCATTCTGCACCATGCCCTGGCTCGCACGCTCACCACGGCCTGACCTCCCCCTCACGTGCATCACTGGCTCGCTGCTCTGCTCCCCCCCTTCCTCCTCCAGCAAAACGACCAACCAAGAATGCAGCACCATGTGAGGGGCGGGAAATTGCTGCGCAATGAAGCCAGCGTCTCAGGCAGTCACTGGCGAGTCACTGGCGAGTTACTGTGAGGAATTCCCTCGCTTCCCAACTCCACCAGCATCCTCCTACCTTCGCACGTCCCGTGGGCGTAAGAATGTGAAGTACCCAGGTTAGAGGCACTGAAGGGCGTGCATGATGCCACCATCACTTTGATCAGACTTCCCAAGTGCATAGATCACATCACTCCACCTCCCCCCCTCCCACAGCCAGTGGTACGAGCCTCTCACAGCCAGTGGTACGAGCCTCTCACAGCCAGTGGTACGAGCCTCTCACAGCCAGTGGTACGAGCCTCTCACAGCCAGTGGTACGAGCCTCCCACAATGCAGTAGCAGCCCAGGGAAAGGTACTCTCTTGGCAAAACGTCACCGGGATCTCGGGGAGGCAGCGGCGAGGCGAGTCGCCATGAGCATGGAACGCAGATTCGGAGCATTGACAACAGGAGGCCGCGGAGCTTTGGGCTCCCTGCTGCTACTGTTGCTCGCTCCTCCATCCCCATCAGTCCGCCTCCTTGGATAACAATCATCAACATCCGCCACTGTAGCCATGTGACTAACCCCTTCAACATCCCTGCCGTTCACACCAATCCCGATAGAGCGCAGGCTGCTCCACTCCACATAAAGGTCCTCAAGAGGCCAGTCATGCCTCACTATAAGCGTCTCCACTGTTGGTGCTATGCTGCTGAGTAACTAGGTAGTGCCATGCCACTGCGCCGGTGACGTTGCTAAGGTGAAAGCGAGGGGATGGCGCGGCGACCAGGCTAGACCAGAACGGTTACCACATAACCCAGGTTCCTCTTGGCTGGTGGGTCCGTTCAGGTATACAGTGGCGGCAGATGCGAGAGGGAGCGAAGAAACGGTGAGCCTCTTGCGGCCGACCAACGTGAGAAAGTCGAGAGAGGGAGGGCTGCTGGCTGGCATGACAGGCGAGTTTCAGCGACTCTGCTGTAACTGAGAGAGCTTTTAAAGACGCAGGGAGGGAGAGGCGCATGTCCAAATTTTGATTCTCACAGCTGATGTCGAGTGGTGAGTAGGAATTCAAGGGCAGTGTGTGGTGTCTGTTTTTGGAACCAGGCTAGTGTTGTCTGCCACTGGGCTAGGGGAAGTCGTGGCTGAAGGCGAGCATGATGGGCTGAAGCTCCTGCACGCACAGCACACACACACAGGGATGGTGGCGACGGCCAGTTGACTTTTGAGTCGCCTCAAAAAGGTCAACTTGTTTCCTGCCATTTTGGGACGTCGTGGCAGAAGGCGAGAATGATGGGCTAAAGCTCCTGCACGCACAGCACACACACACAGGGATGGTGAAGGCGACTTGCACGATATGGAAACATGGCAAGTTGTGGCTCGGCATGGAATGGCACGGCATGGAATGGCACGGCATGGAATGGCACGGCATGGAATGGCACGGCATGGAATGGCACGGCATGGAATGGCACGGCATGGAATGGCACGGCATGGAATGGCACGGCATGGAATGGCACGGCATGGAATGGCACGGCATGGAATGGCACGGCATGGAATGGCACGGCATGGAATGGCACGGCATGGAATGGCACGGCATGGAATGGCACGGCATGGAATGGCACGGCATGGAATGGCACGGCATGGAATGGCACGGCATGGAATGGCACGGCATGGAATGGCACGGCATGGAATGGCACGGCATGGAATGGCACGGCATGGAATGGCACGGCATGGAATGGCACGGCATGGAATGGCACGGCATGGAATGGCACGGCATGGAATGGCACGGCATGGAATGGCACGGCATGGAATGGCACGGCATGGAATGGCACGGCATGGAATGGCACGGCATGGAATGGCACGGCATCTAGACAAACTAGTCTCACGCCATGAATGTACACATGGACATGGGACGAACGGGGCAGCACCACAGCATCGACTCGCGGAGAAGGAGAGGACCGCACCTCAGAGCATCGACTCACGGTGGAGGAGAGGACAGCACCTCAGAGCATTGACTCACGGTGGAGGAGAGGACAGCACCTCAGAGCATCGACTCACGGTGGAGGAGCCTCTTGCTAGCGACAGCAGCGCAGAGCAGAGGCCACACGGAGCCGTGCAGCGTGTTGTTCTCACCATGTTGCACCCTGGCGGTCAGCAAGTTGACTTTTGAGTTGACCCAAAAGTCAACTCGAGGCCACGCGGAGCCGTGCAGCACGTTGTTCTCGCCATGTTGCACCCTGGCGGTCAGCAGGTCCACCAAGGCACAAGAACTGCTGTCTGCTCCCCACGATGATATTCCCTCTGAAGAATTCTCCCGGTTCTGCTGCAGCTGAGCGGAATGTGCTGGTGGAAGCACAGCAGCAGGTGGCGGAAGATGATGTGCCAGATGGGGCCGGGTTTTGAGGCGCCTCAAAAACAGATGTGGCCAAGCAGCAGATCAACCACGTTCTGGATCAGGTGGGTGGGGGAGAGATGAATGAAGAAAAACGTTCCACGCTCGGAATCCTTCGGCGGCAGCAACAGGTGGTGGAAGATAATGCGCCGGATGGGGCCGGGCAGCAGAGCAACCACGTCGTGGATCAGGCGGGTGGGGGATGAGAAGCACTAGAGATGAGAGCGGAAGAGAGCGGGAGAGAGAGAATAGGAGAGGACTCGGGGATGATGCGCGAGGAAAAGGGGGAAGTTGGAGTTGAATTCGCTGTTCACAACATCAAGCTCACCTCGTGAGAATGCCCAGCACCGGAGGAGGGTTACTCTCAAAGAACATACTCGAGGAAACGGGAAAGTCGGATTCACTGTTCGCAACATCACGCTCACCTCGTGAAGTTGCCCAGCACCGGGGGGCTGTGAGGGCTGTGTGAGTTGGAGTGCAGCCATGGTCTCGTTCAAAACTGCATCGCCATGGCTGGAAGCCATCGGCCCGGTGACAATTCCGGGATTCAATTCGTCTCGGGTTACAAAAAAGTCGTCAGATGTTCGAATAAGACTCGTTGCTGGAGGGTTACAATACGGAGGGTCTCATGGAAGCAAAACCAATACTCTTTAGGTCCACTTGGCATTGCTTTCGCTGACGATGAGTTGAGTTCGCGAACCTCAAAGCTCAGATACTCTGCAAGTCTTCTCCTGGTCGCTCGCCGTACTCACACCATCGTGAAAACCCTACCCCCCTCGCCGGTCAAGGTCAGCCACGACATGACGAGACTCGCCTGTCGTCGCCATAGCGGCGCGGCGGCAGTAAACAGCGACGAGGCGGGCTGAGTGAGTTCGCCGTAGCAGCGCGACACGGCGCGGCGCGGCGGGCAAAACGGGGAAAAATCACGGACATGGCGAAAGGACGGTGAGGTAGGCACGCGGTGCGTTCCGCAGAGCGAAGGCTGCGAGTCGCCATCTTCTATGAAATCTAGACACATCGAAACAATGAATGGCGAGAAGCATGCTGCTTTGGCCCCCACAGTTGGATGGCTGACCAGTGTGGCAGCAGCAACTGGATCAGTGCAGTCAGTAATAGAATCGTCTTACCTGAACTTCTGGAGGACTTCCTGCTCTTACAGCCTCAAAGCCAGGGTCTCATGTAAGCTAAGGAGCCATCGACTGCAAAGCACTTGAAGCTAGGTAACCAAGTTAGTGCTGGCGAAGTTGTCTCTGGTTGGCTTGGAAACTCAGCTTGCGTCACTGCCCCAAAAGCAATTGCACAACACTTTTGGGTACTCGAGACTTTCGATGAGTTGGGGGCATTTTAGGTTTGGCTCTGAACCAAGTTTCCAAGCCTAGATGGTTCGGTTGCCCCCAGCGATTTACTTTCGCTTCGCACCCCTCGCTTCACCCCACTTCGAACCTTACACCTCGCCAACCAATCAAAGCCACACTTTCACCAACAATTGCAAAGCACTTGTAGTACGTGAGACCCTGGCTTCAAGCATATGTTCATTCGTGACACGGCATCACAAGTACCGTAATATGGGTATTAGGGAAAATGAGTGGGATCACAAATTATGCAGGAGTTCTCAACGAATCACTATAACAAATTTGTACAGTAATAGCAGTGGCGAATCTGAACCTGCGAATGTTGCATTGGCCTGGCATCACGCCGCGACTATCGGTTGCAAATTGATTTGTCCAAATATTTTGGAAATGCCAGCTTGGCTGATCGTGTAGGCCCCGCCAGCGCTGCTGTGGAAACTTTCGCAGCACTGGAAGGAAATTCCATTCGTTGGAAGGAAATTCTATTCGCATTTTTCGCACCAGCCTGCGATGCGATGCATAACAAGCTACTTCAGCATTTGGTTCGACCTGGCGCGAAACAAGAAATGTCATCCCGCCACCAGAGAATCTTTTCCAACCCTCCCCTATCTCTGAGGGCCTGAGCCCTCTCCCGCTCCCAGGCACGGCGCGAACATCGCACGCTGTATTACAGAAACCTGCGCTGCGAAAGTCTGGGTTTCCGCAGCCGCTGTGCTTGGGAAAGTCTCACCTGTGTGTACGCCGAAACATGCGCAACATTCCCGCGACGCACCGCGTGTGAGCGTCACGCACAGCGTGTGAGCGCCACGCACAGCATCGCAAAGACAAACTGCTATGTCGTGGGAGTCCCAACCGCACAACGACCCCACTCCTAGTAATGGGGAGACCTATATAACACGCTCTTCATCTCTCATTTCCATCAGTAGACGCTCACCTTCTCCCCAACATCCCAGCCAACCACCTGTTCTGCTCACCAGCTATTCCTCTCACGCTTCACTATCCGAGTCGGTATCAATTTCTTTCATCGCGAAATTCCGAGTTTGCACAAAATGTACACGGTAGCTTTTCCTGCGGGAAACCTTCGGAAAAGCTTCGGAAAAGCTTCGGCGCGCACATTTACAGCTGAGTGGCCAAAGTGACATTGCAGCAACAACTCTGAAGTGTCTCCAACGCTACTTTGCAGTTACAATTGTGACTTCAATTTATCAAGTTCACCAGTGATCCCGGCCATATCCCACTTCCGTATCAAAACAACGTTATTACTCCATGATTGGGGCCACACTTAGGGCCATCTTGTTATTCATATCGCAATGCGTTCAAATCCATCAGTCGATGAGGGCAAACCTATTGAGTAGCCTGACTCTAGGATTAGTAAAGGACTTGCACACGTGGACAATGCGCTCGATCGATGCAACTTCAATGATCCCGTGCGTGGCCTCCTTCCGCCCCGGCACCAGTTGGGGGCAAAGTGTCTTGGGGACACACCCCCTCCTCCTCGTAATACTTCACGAATACATATGCACCTTCCTCCCCGCTGTAGTTCACCGCCCTGAAAATACAGAGACACCGCGCATACCACCACTCCTCCTCCTCCTCCTCCTCCTCCTCCCTCTCTCCCGGTATTGCAATGTCGGTGAACCAGTTCTCCTTCGGGCTTGCTTTCACGAACATCGCCTTCGGAACCAAGTACCCCCCTTTCGTGCTAGGGATGGCCACTGCGGTGTGCACCTGCCGGGTATGGGTGGGTTTGCATGAGGACCAACACATTGTACGATGGCGCCTCTTCACGTACGTGTCCAACACACAACGGCCCAACCTCTTTACAACCGAAGCCAACAGCTTGATTACCGAGTTACTAACATGACACTGCATCTCACCAACACACGTGAAGTCTGAAGGCCTTCCGCGGCCATGAGTGTCGCCATGTTGTCAAACTCACTGCCCACCGTCTCCCTGTACAGCATCCGCAGTGGATCGTCTGTCGTCATGAGACACATTGCCTTGCTGGTGCGGGTCAGCGCGGGCTTCATGCTGCGCACAGCCTGAGGGGTGGGTTGTGAGCACGCATGGGATGAACCGGTGGAGTCATTGATTCCAAACACCTCGCATACCTGCGTGCCTTTAACAAATGCCACCAACACTACACGGCGACGCGTTGTGTACCTCTCGCAGGGCGGTGTAGTAAGTTCTCCCTCCTCCTGACAGCGCTGCAATCTCCCGAGTGATCTCGCGTTGCGTCTCCTCCTCGACAATCCTCCTTGGTATGTCTTTCCAGTTGCTTCCGCGCACGGGGCCCTTCACGGTGCCCTTGTGGGTATGCTCCCACAGCTCCGTGGAATACTCGTGCGGCAAAACCCTCATGGATATGCCGTTGATGAGGTGTACAACTTCGTGGAGCTTCACGAAGTTCCACTTCGACTTCTGCCTCGGGAAAGCCGCCTGCAGTGCAGCCACCAGTCTACACGGAGGTGTATGCACATTGTAATGCGAACATTGAAAGAATCACCACAGTGTACAACATGGCCAATGGTAGCAACGAAACACGTGGCCATCATGTTCACTCACGAGATGCCATGCTGCCTCGCGATGGCGATTGTGAGCCGCGTGTGCTTTGTCACAGCCAGCAGGGACTTGTAGAAGACCGCATAGTAGCGGAAGGCACGAACCTCCTTATCCCTCTGGTCCCTTTCCTCCGCAGAGCGCCCCACATACAGGTCGGAAATGACAATAGGGAAAACCTGCATCATGCCACGATACTCGAACGCCGCGTAATTCGCCCCGCTGCGGAAAAAGGTGGAGCCACCCGGGATGCGCACCAAGACACTCCTTGTCTCGCCCTTCACGCCAAACTTGCGGCTGTTCCACGCACCAATCACACACAAGCAACGAGATTGGATTGTTCCCATGGTGAGATCTGCCACGTACGCACTACCGCATACAAAACAGTTCACGGAATCTCTGTGTACTCACTGATCAAACCCCCGAATCTCGGCCTTCGTCTTCCCCTCCATGAAACAGGTGGCCATATGCACCAGCACCCCGGAATCCAGCACATGCAATATGTCGCCAACAACCGCCAGGAAGACGTTACCCCACTTCGTCTCAGAGAAGTTCCAGCGCTCCAGAATGCTCTGCACGTTGGATGGTGCTGTCAGACTCATCATAAAAATCAACATCATGCCGCTAAAATCATGGCCGCGGCCATGTGACTTGCCACACACAAACATCGAACGCGCACCGTAATCGGATGCGTAGACCACCTGGCCTGGATCGCTGCAACGCCTTCCACCTTCGTAGCGCTCAGTATCTTCGCCGCCGCGTGCCGCTCTCCCTTCACAGTGCGCACTATTGACTGGTTTGACAGGTCATGTAGGTGCGCCCTCTTGATGTAGCAGCTTGAGCACGGTCTGTGCGACGCCTGCTGCATCGTTGCTGTGGCCCGGCACCCTTCCGGATAGTCGCCAACAAATGCATAGAGGCATGGATATGCCTTGACCACACCTCCCCGGCCGTCTGACACATCGAAGACTCGAAGAGGACCACTGCATGCACCACGTACATGTTTGATGGGTCTCAGAAACCGACAATGACCCCGTTCGCCTCCAACGGCCTAGAGCATGCATTCAGACCACTTACTCGCGGCTCTCACGCATGAGCGGACCCATCACGATGCGATACACCTCCTGATACACCCGCGTCTTCTCCGTCGCCGATGCCCACTCTGGCGGAAAAGGGAGCACACCCACTAGCGCGTGCCCAGGCTCACGCCACCGTAACTCCTCCGGGACATTGACCAAACCCATCAACATTGGCCATGCCTGTAGGCGTCCGTTCCCCGACGCGTAAGTGCTATCGCTGTACGAGATGACACCCAGCACCATAGAATCCTCCTCCGGCAGTTCCGCCTGACAACGACACAAGGCGACCAAAAGAGTCAGACCAACTCACATCAGAGCCCCATGTGACGCTTGGGAACATTTGCCTCTACTTGCCTGCGCCTCTTCCAGCCAAGTCCCTGTGTCGGGCGTACTGAAATGTCTTGTGTCCGCCGTATCTTCCGGATCTCGCCGCGGCCGTTTGACAAATCCCCTCACATTCACGAATGTCTTCACCATCTTCTGCGCAATCTGTCCACAAGGAGGCGCGGGAAGCCTGTGTATAGACGGTGCATAAACAGACATACACTCGCCGACTCCGTGCAGCACCAACCATCAATCGCTCACCAGCTTGGTGTCCTTGTACAGCAGTTCCAGCATCTGAGACCTTCCTCCGGGGCCCCGCACCTCAATCTCTGCCTTGAGCCACGGCACCATATCGTCCGGCGCGTGTTCCTCCCCAAACCGCCTCACGTCGGCGACGTTCTGCCAGCGCCGAACCGCTGCAGGATCGTATCCCGGGTGGTTGAATATGTGCAACACTCTATTTATTTCTCTGTCCGACAAATCAGCGTCCTTGAAGAACAGGTACAGCTCGTTCAGGGTGTTGAACAGGTCGCCAACTGTGGATACAGATCCATCGTCCGACGTCGACACGTACCCGCGCACAAAATCCGCGTGCTCGGGAAACTCTCTCAAATATCTGAACAGCGAGTCGGCGGAGTGGGGGCTGCCCGGGACTGACTCACTGTCCGAATGATGCGGGCTATTTCTCACCTCGGCCAAAGCCTTCGCCAACGCCTCCACCGCCCTACTCTCGAGCCTCTCGAGCAGCGTGTCCCTACACGTGTCATTGCGATACAAATGGATTCTCAGTAGGTTGTCTGACTCCAGCTCCTGCCCGCACGCCCCGCACCTGTTCCCTGCCATGTGTCTTAATCTGCGCACACACCCAATGGCCGTTCCCTGACTTCCCCTCTAATTCCCGTTAGCCAACCATTACCGTCATGCATGTTCTCCACTACACGCAGTACCACCTATGCTGTTTTTGAGCCGCGCACGCCCTGCATCCTACCACCGAAACTCCGTACACCACGTCTCGCGCACCGCAGACCGTTCTATTACTCCAGTTACTAATACTGCATGTTCGGAACATGGGTCCTCCGCCTACGTCACCCCATTATCACAGCTGCTATAATGGCTCGTCAAATACATCGTGCACGCACAAAAGGGCGGAGAGTCCGGGCGGGCGGCCTTATCCGTAACGAGAAACCCTAACCGGCTGAAATGCATGCGGTAAGAAATCCCTTCGTGAAGTAGGCACTTGCTTTGTTCAGGCGCGGTGGTTACACCACGAGGTGGGAATATACTCGATACAGCAAAACATAGAAGATCAATGTTCAAACACCGTCTGTGATTTCCGATGGACTATCTCCCATCCTTGCCAGACATAAACGGTGAATTATTACAACAATTGTCCACACCCCTACGAAACCTATGCCAATGCATTTTTCCACATGTGTCACACAAAACCACAATGGCATACTTAAAATCTAATACATAAGCGGGTTCAGGGCAACTACATGCATTCCAAGTACGGCATGCTTTACCTTCCGGCCATATGGGGGTAAACTTATCAGTAATAGTTGCCACGGTGGTCACGCCGACTACGACGTCGCCGCATGAGACGATCAAGTACATCTAACAGGAGCAACGCTCCATCAATATTGGTGGTCCTGGTACCATCTGCCATAAGGGCACAAAGACAAGTCGTGAGGCAATGTGAAGCATCGGCCACGGCAAATAACAGGACGGCCCTTACCTCCGGGGTCCTCGACGTGCGTACGCCTCCGCCTCTCGCGGCGCCGCCCATACTCGTGTGTACGTTCATCCGGGCATCCTATGGGACATGTACGCAACGCAGCGCAGCGCGAGGTAAATAACGTGCAACAGGGCTCCCACAAGTGGCAGCACGCAGTCAAGCAATTCATGTTGTTTGGTACTCACCTGTCTGTGACCGGACGTGCCTCGTAGGAGTAGCGGTGCTAGACACGCAAGTACCCGGGGCCCTGTACGCCGAGCTAGACCTGGACGGGTTTGGAGGGTCTGACTCTCCCGTCTCAACGGGCACATTATTCGCGTCGCCCCTGTTGCCAGGGAAGAAGAAGTCGAAGAGATCATTCACGCGGGTAGAACCTTCGCGTGAATCGGCTGGTGGATCTTCGCGCTCCGCACCCGCGGCTATTTCCTCAATCTGCATCCTCTCCCAGCTACTAGGTACCGAGTGTGCAGCATCTATATTCCCCCCTGCTGATATCGTGGGCTGTTCGTGGTTCACAGGTCCCGTAATTGACTGCGTAGCCCCCGCGACTCCATCCTCCATTTCGTCATCAGATGAGTCTAACACCGGCTGTCGGCCATTACCGGTGTGTGGCTTGGGTGTAACAGTCACAATGACGGTTTTATCTCGACTGGTGTCGGCACCCGCGTTTATATCACCACACGCTGGCGGTCCCTGCATACGAGTGCCATCTCGATCAAAGCTACCACCCAGTAGCTTGTTGATGTGACGCGCCGCTACCTCTGTGTCGTTGCTGCTAGGGGAGGCCATACCGGGCATAAGGTTAGGGTTTGAACGAATAGCCACACAGTGCTAAATGACTCCTTGTATCTGCCTCCCAAACACCGAAGCCACTTCGGAAGCCATTTCCGTCCGCGATATCGCCGCCAAAATCTCGCCGTTTGACATTGTACACCCGATTGATTTACGGTGTGTGTTACACGACATGTACAAAGAAGCTCGATAGTGTGAACGGCCCTGAAAACTTTTTAGGTTTGATGTTTACATGATACATCAAATCTCAAACTGGCTACATCTGCAAGTATTTCAACGTTTCCACGGCACATTCTAATCCCGTTCCGTAACAACCTATGCCCACGCGCCGATAAGTCAAAAGGCCCTGTCTACCGGGTGGCTTTATACTTTACTAGGCGAACGTAGGCACAATCAATAGTCTTGGATGAGGTGCCCGTCATGGACTCTTCTTGCATGGGCTTAGTAGATACCTTGGACCACCAGGGTATCATCCCCAGAGCACGACTGAGATCCCCGATGCGCACTCCTTCGTCCATGTCCTTCCACTCCTTGGGCCTGTGCACCTGAAACATGCTTCATCTGGGTTTAGCGTAGGACATGCAGGCACCACAACACACACCGTCCTTTGTAAGGGCATCAACGGAACAACATATACGGCTTACAATGGATGAGGTGCCACCTCCCGTGCATATGTCTCTTGAGTGAGGTGCCGAAATCCTGGACCCATCGGACCGATGTCTCTCCTCCTGCACACCAGATAAACATCCCACACCTTTCAATGGCCATCGGAAACACACCCAGTCGGCACGCCAACGATCCTCACCTCATATCCCATCGCCCTTGCCTCGGCCATTAGAACGACTCTGTAGTCAAATGTCGGTAACTCCGGCAGTATGACATCCTCGAGGCTTGTTGCGCTGTGATTTACGAGTCTGTAATCCGCTATTGACGTCATAAACCGTCGACCTTTGGCACGTGTAATGCTCGACTCCGACTCGTCCGGATACGTGGCGTATATGAGCCTCAGGTACATGAACGGTGTGGGTGCATCGGGTGTTATTGCAAGAGACGCACGGGCTTCTGAAATCGCGCGCGCCCTGTGCTGTCTAGGACTGCGCCTTCCACTACCCAAGAATGGGTCCAGAGACCTCAGAATCGTGGCCGCGCTAAGAGTCTCACCTCGTTGTGACATTATGGCACCCTGCACCTGCATTATGGCGTAGGCTATAGTGGGCTTAGACCGTATGAAATAACCCCGGGTGTTGCGCCGACGAGGCTCCAGCACGTCGCACGCTTTACAACGCGTTGCGCTCATCATGCCACTACCAACTAAAATCAGTAACATTAGGCGGACGTTAGGGTTTTGTAAGTGTCTGTCCTACGGGAATCGAGGAACGGGCTGCTGGGACGATATGAAGCGGTGTGGAGTGGTTTGTGGAGTGTTGGCACGCTTTCATGGTCAACTGGGTGTACCGAGCACAAACTGCAAAATTAGTTCGCGCTTTCTTCAGATTGTGCCATATCGGGGAGGTGAACATCATACTCGCTCTCGGATTGAGCGTGGAAATCCCTATATCCCCAACGTGAACAATCTCGTTACGTACACAATGATTGACGATGTGCTTATTATTCGACAAATACAACGGTTATTGAGATCAATACAACCATCAGTTACATCACCGTCCCGATATTTGCCGGGTAAGTACGTCTTTTGCCCGCCGCTGTTATAAGCCCGTCTGTCGCCCCAGCCTAATAAAGACCCCTCAATTGTGCAGGGAACACTATTCTTTGATGGTGGTAACCAACCCGAGCGGGATTGTAAGCCAGACGGCCGCACCTGTGGAGTTCATTCTATTCGACAGTGACGGCCTCCACGCCAAGACTACTGATGCCTTTGACGGGACTAAAGCGTGAGAGTCGCTATATACCACCGTGCAACCCCCTTTCAGCGGTGACGTCCTGCGACCTCATCTGACCTGTTGGCTATATCGTCGTGCAGGTTATTGCACCTCATGTGCAAACGCGATCATCCGGAGGTGGACCAGGAGGCGTCTAGGCAGGCGCTCATCAAGGCCGAAACGATAATCATGGAGGTGAGATGCTGCAAAGACAGTATGGCTCATTCTATCCCACTTGGTTGCTAATACGGGAGCGCGTTCTGATGAACGGAAACATCGTGTCTCGATGGTGCGCAGGGTCACCAGATCCCCAAACAACCTAACAGCTGGGACTGCGGAGTGTACATGTGCTAGTATCTCGAAGCTCTGGTGACATCTGGGTTCATAACCGTGAGAGAGTACATATCGTTCAAGGGCGTGAGCGCTGAGAGGTACCGCCACAAGATGCGTGGGGATCTTTGTTCTCATGCCGAGGGAACGCTGATTCCCAAGCTGTAGCGCCAGGGTCTCCGCATACCTCTGCAGCCTGTTCCCGTTATCGACGGCAACGGATACATATGCGTCGACCCTCCTGTGGACATCCGAAGAGAGCTGCTAGACCACAAGGATTGAGCACGACATACAGGTTCTGACGGCCAAGATCGAGTATCTGGCCATCCGCAAAGGCGTGACGTCGGACGAGCTGGACGCAGGGGCGCGCCAACACCTGGGTGCCGTGGTTGACACGCTGGTGCCGACGGCGACTCCACGCAAGCACGCCAAAGCAGAAACCACCGTGGACGGAAGTGGCCAGATGGAGGTCGCGCGGACTCCTCCGACGCGTGCACTGGCGGCAGTGCCATCAATCTCTCCCTGTTCTGCACCTCACACACCTGCCGTGAAAGATAGCCAAGTTACTGCCGGCGACGCGACACCTGCTGTGGTCAGGCAACAACAGCGCGGCCATCTTGCACTGGCTTTGCGCAGCCGCGCTACGACTCCCGTGCCCGCAGCTCCAGGTAACCCCGGAAGGGTCGCAAGCAGCGGCCGAACGGGAGTTATGTGGAACGCAGCGAAGCAGAGGTACTACGTCCGGATCATATCTGCTCGCCGTCAGCAGGTTCGTCTGGGGTCGTACGAGGACAAGGACGAGGCGTCATACGCGTATGCTGCGGGAGCCGTTGTACTTCGCCCGAACTCACGCATCAGCTGCACGGTGGAGCTGTCCGACGGTGACAGGCAGGCTTTAGCCGGCTGCACCGAGGAGATCCTAAGGCTACTCGTGAAGTACAGGCGCTGGAACAGATGGAGGGAGTGGAGAGCCGCAATGGCTGGCCTGGACGATGCGCAGCCGGTCGAGACCCGTTCGCGGCGAAAGGGCAGAGTGTCCCGGGCCATTAGTGACGTTGAGGAGGTGGAGGCGACCACGCAGACTACAGAGGACCAGCCTATGGCTG